TTAAGGGAGCACCCTATGATCTGATTGGCCAATTCATACCATTCATACATGCTTGCAGACAAGGGAAATCGCTCCAGAGCACACGTAAAGGTGGCGCATTCACGACAAAACAGCATCATCATCTGCAAAATCACATACATTATTAATCCTGCAGTGATGGTCTTTGATTATATTTCCTTGCATGTATGTTTTGTAAAAGTAATGCTCATACAAAATATGGGTTATAGGAGCCCTGCTCAGGCTCCAGGCCGATAAAATGGCTATTTCTACTTCCTCTTACTTTCTATAACTCTCTCCAACATTTGCAAGTTGTCTAAACTCAATTGTCAACAGTAGCTACTTTGATTGTGATTGTTGGTTTTTTTATGTATTTCTATAGGCCTTTATCTTCGACCTACTCTTAAGGTCTCCATATTCTTAAGGAAGGAAGAAACCAGATTACTGTTTTTGTATTTGGTCTATTCCACGTTTTTAATCAAGTGCAAATTATGCTGTATTGAAATAGCCTCTTATGCATAGGTTGGTACGTCTCTCCTATGCAAAGACTATATAATAAAGAGAAAACGTTGAAATAGCCTTAACCGAACATTCTATAAAAAGGGACATTTTCAGGTAAGACGATATCTTTTTAAACATTATTCTAATATTCCAATTGGTCAACAGTCGTCCGATATTTTTCAAGAGTAGGCGGTCGGTTGACTGTTAAGGCCATCCCTCTTGCCCAAAATAAATAGCAATTTCACACCTTTTCACAGTATCCTCATAGCAATGTCAATGGATAATTACCTTTTATAAAAATCTGCCTAACTCTTCTCGTTTTCTGAATTTGACTCTTATCATATGCATGAAGAAGACCTCCAAGTATCATTGACCTCAAAATGGTTACTTTACCTCTGAAAGCATTTATCCAAATTTTTACCCACTTTGGTTCCCTCCACAAAGTGAAAAATAAAAAAAGAGTGACTTACCAAAGTTTTCTAACTCTTTCGAGATTTCACTCATCCAGTCTATTAAAGTGACTAATTTAAGAAAATCATTTAGCCCCTTTCTAGACTTGCTGCCGAACGGCAGTATAATAATTTATACAACGAACCAATAATTTAGGAAATCATATTGCTTAATGAATTAGGAGACAGTCCGATTGAGTTGTGTGAATATTTGGAAAGCATTGAAAGAAGTAACATCTCATCTTTCATTAAACGTAAAATACGTATAGTCTATTATGCAACTCGTCAAACTGATAAAGTTTTTATTCCTTATTCACTCCTAAATATCATTACTTCATTTCTTTTATTCTAACTATTTCCCTTGTATTAGAAACGTATCTAATTTGCCTACAAGTCCGATGCTAACAAGGCTTTATGCTTATTTTTCAGCATTTATATAAGGGAAACCTATCAATTTATACGTAAGTAATTTTATGAATTATAAAACAGCCAATGCCAGTTTATTGGTGCCAAAATCGGAGTTGATCGGGCACACAGCCAACCAGATAAAATGTACAGATTACGAAGATTTAAGCGCTAAACGGAAGATCAGTGTCGGATTAAATGAACAATACTACCAAAATGTTGTATTTGGGCGTCTGCCTTATCCATTTGACCGCCAGATAATCTTATAAAGACAAATTTAGTAAAAAGATAAAATAACCATTGCCCAGACGCGTCTTGACGACTAATTATAGAATATAGCAAATATTCATATTATCAAGACATAATTGTAATATATTTGCATACAATCTGAAAAATAATTGTTCTTTAGTATAATGGTCATGAATTTATTTTTATATATGGGATTATTTGCTCCATTTCATCTAAGACTGTGAAGGCCAGCTAGTTGAACTTTCCCACAATGCTATGAGTAAACCTCAAGTTCTCATTGAATATCAGAAGGT